TATAATAACCTATGGTATAAACACAAATGCTTGGTTGGTACTTTAGCAGGTGCATCACATCATCTAACAAAACAATTGCAGTGACTTGCCACTGGAGCCTATATCCTCCCCTGCCACAGGGGGTTGGCCTGGTCTACAGTACCAGATGTGTGGTCCACCCCTAAGAGCAGGCATTATGTCCAATTGAAAATTTGCTGGTTGGACATACACTAGATGCTCCACTATTGCATCAGTAGGAACATCTTGTTTGGTATGTTGGTAGTGCAACGTGTGGGGTCCATCATTGATCAGACATATAGGAATGATTCTTTGTATAGCCTTCCTTCCCCCCTCCACTTTAACTGCCCCCTTTTTGCTTATTTCTCCCTTAATAATACGTTTCTCCTACTGTTCTTCTCTCTCAGTTTCTTTCTTTCCCTTTACCTCCCTATTTTCCTTTCATAGTCCTGGTCCCTGCAGTTGCATTAGGATATGTGCTCACTTATCGGGATTTGGTGCTAGGATCCACATATGAGGGAGAACACACCTCTTTTGTTTTTCTGAGTCTGTGTTACTTCACTTAGTATAACAGTATCTAGATCCATCCATTTACCTGCAAATTTCATGATTTCATCTTTCTTTATTGGTGAATAGAATTCCATTGTGTAAATACACCACATTTTCATTATCCACTCATCAGCTGAGAGGCACTTAGGTTGCTTCTCTCTCTTAGCTATTTTGAAACGAGCAACAACAAACATGGTTGTACAAGTGTCTTTACAATAGGATGAGTCTTTTGGGTATATGCCAAGGAGTGGTATAACTGGGTCAAATGCTAGGTTCATTTGTAGATTTTTAAGAATTCTCCATACTGTTTTCCATAGAGGTTGCATGAGTTTGCAATCCTCCCAGCAGTGAAATGAGTGTTCCCCTTTCTCCACATCCTTATCAGCATTTGGTATCATTTGTTCTCTTGATCCTGGCCAGTCTGGTTGGGGTAAGATAAAATCTTATGGTGGTTTTAATTTGCATTTCCCTAATTACTAAGGAGGATCACCTTGATTTTTAAATCTTCCCAGAGCCTCTGTTCTCTTTATCACATTGTGTTCTATTTTCATATACAAATGGTAGCAGCCCTGCCTTTTGCGGTGTACAAATGCATAAACATGGGGGCTGGAGAGATGGCTCAACGGTTAAGAACACTGACTGTTCTTGCAGAAGACTAAGGTTTGAATCCCAGCACCCACATGGCAGCTAACAACTATCTGTAACTCCAGTTCCAGGAGATCTAACAGCCTCTTCTGTCCTCCACACGACTCGGATGCATTTACCCACATGCAGGCAATATACGCATACACATACAATAAAAATAATAAATAAGGGGCTGGAGAGATGGCTCAGAGGTTAAGAGCACTGACTGCTCTTGCAGAGGACCCACGTTCGAGTCCCAGCACCCACATGGCAGCTATGAACCATCCTTAACTCCAGTTCCAGGGGAATCCGAAGCCCTCTTCTGACCTCCACAGCATTGCACGTCACCGGTGCACTCACATGCATGCAGGCAATACACTCATACACATAAAAAAAGTAATAAAATATTAAAATTACAAAAACAAATGCATACACACAACGAAGAACAGGTCAAAGTAGCATGCATAAGGTACGGGGTTTGTTCCCTAGTAGATTCTCAGGGAAGCCAAGTTGCAGACACAGATGCTCATTCCGGCTTCCGAGTCTTCAGGCGCAGACTGGCACAGAGCCCCTCCAGGTACCGGCGGACTTTAAACTGTGAGGGAGCAACAGACCAGAGGCCACCTTGGCCTGTCTGTGCCCAGGACTCGGGGTGTCCAGAAAGGAAGCCCTGGATTCCGCTGCCTCCCCTCCCTGTTTGAAGCCAAAGACGAAGTGCACCGCGCTTGCCTTGACCCCTTAGAGAGGACAGGGTGCGGCCTGCGAACTGCTGGCATTTTGAGTTGTCCTGGAAACAGGGCTCCCCAGCTGGACGAACAACGGCAAGAGGCTAAGCGTTTCATTTCTTCCGAGTAGGAAAATACCAGATTTTACTGTCCTGCTTCTGTCCCCAGGGAAAGCATTTGTTTGTAGACTATTGAATCTACAAACTACATAAACAGGCAGGATAGAAAGGAAGGGGAAATCTTGGGGATATGAGCGGGAGGAAAAAAAACAGAAAAAAATCCAGTTGAAGCCACTGCCACTCCCACATAGTTAACAATAATTTCAGGCCTTTCTCCCTTCCCAGCCATAAATCTGTGCTTTTCTAGGACTCTCACAGAAATCCCACTTACAGAGGAAGGATGGGTGCCAAACCCTTTGTGCAGCCCTAGTAACACCTGGTTTTACTTTCAGATCATAATTCTATCCAAAGCACCTCTAGAGCCACCTCACAAATCTCTTAGCAAAAAGAAGGAAAAAATAGCAAGAGTTTCTTGAGCTGGGCCTGGTGGTGCACACCTTTAGTACCAGCAGTCAGGAGGCAGAGGCAGGATGATCTCTGTGAAATCAGATGGAGACCAGGTTGGTCTACATAGCGAGTTCCAGGCCAGCTGGGGCTGCACGGAGACCCTGTCTCAAAAAGTCCAAGAAAGAGCAAGCTTCTTGACAACATTTTGAGATACAACTTGAGTCACTAAAGTGTACACATGGCTAATGCTAAGACAATTAGCTCCTTACTTTCGCCGGAGGAGCCTGTCCCCTCACTTTGGGGCATCTCTTTTCCTTCCTCTCCTCTTGGGAAGCGCACACCCCGACTTGGATATGTCTTGTTTCTTATGTTTGTCAAGGCGGGAGGCCAACCTTGGGTGTCTTTCCTCAGGTGCAGTCACCTTTCTGTTTTGAGACAGGGTCTCTCAGAGGCCTGGAGCTCTTGACTGGCTGGCCACAGAGCTCCAGGGCTCCACCTGCATCCACCTCACCATTGCTGGGATCACAAGTGTGTGCCACTACGCCCAGCTCTGTTATGTGGGCTCTGAGTACCCTACAGAGTTCAAGTTCTTCTGTTTGCAAAGTGAGCGCTCTCTCTCCCCAAACCCTGCCTTTCAGCTTTAAAGTGTTTTACACACAGACCTCACTGGACTCAGAGGCACAGTGCTGACTGGAATCAAATTCAGTTTTGCTGTTTTGTTTTGTTTTTTGAAATTTCTGCATTGAAATATTTTCTGTTAACATAAGTTGCTCATGTTTTGATAATGGTTAGTGATTTTTCTTAAGTGCTACATCAGATCTTTTTAAAAATATTTTATTTGTAATTTTTATTTCATATGTATGAGTGTATTGCCTGCATGTAGGTAGGTGTAATTGTGTCATGTAATGTCCGTGGAGGTTAGAAGAGGGTGTCAGATTCCCTGGAACTGGAGTTATGGATGGTTGTTAACTGCTATGTGAGTGCTAGGAATCAAACGGGGTCCTCTGCAAGAGCAGCCAGTGCTCTTAACTGCTGAGCCACCTCTCCAGTCTCCTATATCAGTTCTTTAAAAATCTTATTCTTGTTTCAGTACTCAAGCAACTGTTTGTGTTATAGAAAACAGAATTCAAACAGCCTACAAATCCTCAAGAAAAATCTACAGCCTGAACCTTCCTTCATGGACAACCCACATAAGGGTTAGTACAGAGCCATGTAAGACAGATGGACACCCACCTGTGAAAAACGAACCATGTCACAAGGTTTTAAAACTCACAAGCATGCATTGAAATGATTATTATTCCATTTAAATACAATGTTCTTTTACATATTTTTCTATAACCATTTTTGGCAAATAAAAACTATAAACACATACAGAGAAGTAATGGGAAAAAATATACAGGAATAAAGAGTCCCATCATGAATGAAGTTTCATTGTTAATTTTGCAGAAAAGTTAAATGTGCCATTAGAAAAAGTAGAAATTCATTCAAGGTTAAGAATTTGATTAACCTTAACAGAAAGAATTTTAAAGTCTTCGTACATTACAATTCTAGTCAGCTCTGGAACTAATGATGATTGCAGGGCATTATTTAAAAGAACAACTATCAGCCATGATCAGAACATTTACCAGAAATGTTTTTCTTAAAGTGGAAATTGTCCCCAAATTATTGCATGCATGATACCCTCTGTGGGAAGACATTTAGGTCTAATTTAAATTATGTTTCTACCTAAGCTAAAATTCCTTAACAAACTGGATTAAGCTATAAATGTGTCTCCATTGTTTGATGGCAATTTTAAAATTCTATAATTCTGAAAGCAGGAATATATTTAAACAATGCAGAAGGTGTAATGTCAGAAATTTAAGAAAAATATCACCAGAGCATTAAAGCAAAACCAAGTAGGAAGCCAGTCACCAGCAGTGTGCCTTACCACTGAAAATCAATTAAAACCATAATTATGCCACCTGGGACCTTCCAGAGGGCTCAGAAGGTAGGGTGCTTGCAACCAAGCCTGACAACCTGAGTTCGATCCCCAGATTCCACATACCAGAAGGACATAAACAGCTTCCCTAAGTTGTCCCCTCACCTCCACATGTGCACACACATGTAAATAAGAAACAAAATAAAGGGCTGGAGACATGGCTCAGCAGTTAAGAACACTGTTCTTACAGAAGACCCAGGTTCAAATCCCAGCACCCATATGACAGCTAATAATTGTCCGTAACTCCAGTTCCAGGGGATCTGACAGCCTCTTCTGTCCTCCGTGGGCATTGCACAACACGGGTCCATTTACCTACATGCAGGCAATACACACACACACATAAAATAAAAATAATAAATAAAATATTTTTTTTAAAAAAGAAACAAAATAAAAACTGTAAAAGCTGTAAATGCACCACGTGAAGGAAGGACCATTGTATCTGACTAATTATATAAATTTTAGGGCATCCACATTCAAAAATGGAGAAGAAAAAGTAGGAAAACAGAGAGTGATCATGTCTTTCTTAGACTGGTGGCCTTTGCACACACGGCATATTTTCATTTCAATGTTGTTTTAATAAAGTTTCCTTTCAGATGTAGTTTGCATCAGCAATCAATAGAATCTGCTTGAACAGAAGGCTTTATTATTGAAAACCAACAATGTACAAGCATTTGTGATAGTTTAAAGCGATGTAAGAAAGAGCCTACAGCATGAGAGCACTGCGCTAACGTTTGGGTTCTTCCTGCAGAGTTGGCAGACGGTAAAAAAGCAACAGCCTTGTCCTGAGCAAAGGTTTAAAGTTTATCTTCGTAACATACAGCAAAACGAACGTAATCACACTATAAACTTTAGTATGAACACTGAAATTAAATACTTGGCCGATTTCTTTTGCTTGATCCATTACACTAATTAGAGCATAGAGGAAATCCAGCACTATATTTTAAACAATTCTTTGAAACATCTGTTCACTGGTAAATATCTTTATATTTATTAAATTAAACATAAAACATATAAACATTCCTTCATGTACATATGAGCTTTTCAAAGAGTAGAAATATTATTTTCAATGTAAACATTTAAAAAATATTTGAGGGGAATCATTTTGCAACCCAACGAGCGAGCTATCTGCTGTCCTCCTAGTCGACAGACGTTCTTCTCATTTTATCAGCTAATTCTGTTCTCACGTCAATGTGCTTCTCTAAATTTTGCACTTCGTGTGGAAGATTGATGTCCCAAATAGACAAGCAAGATTGTATCTCTATAAGAAAAAAACATATTTCAAAGATCCACTATCAAATGCTTTATTTCATTAATTTATATTTATTTAAATTGAACAAATGTATATATATGCAGCCATGAAGAGTGTACTAAATTATTGCTATTTACAAAGAAAAATCTATTCTTAGAAAATGTTAGTAACACATTGTACAAAAAACTATAGAAGCTACTAAATTTCAATGAGTATTAACATTTTATAACCTACCATTTCACTTACTAGAAGAAATAGCTATTTCAAACATTGTTAAATATTAGACTTCATACAGATATAGTTAAAATTATAAGGGAAAATACTCCATTTAGTTTAAATTGGATTATAGTGACTGTCATCTCTTATATGAAAAAGTTAATATTTAACCTTCATAAGTCACTGAAACTTCCTTTTGACTGTTTCTGTATGAGCTGTTTATATCATGAAGCACCAGTTGAAACTGCTGAACATGGATCAGTGAGATGACTCAGCCAGCAAAAGCACAGGCTGCAAAGCCTGAAGATCTGAGTTTGAGCCCTGGGTCCCCACGTGGTGGAAAAAGAGAACCGACTCAGACGAGTTGTCCTCTGACATGTAAACAAGCACTGTGTCACACGTGCATCCAAGGATGCACTCTCACACAGATAGATAAATGACAGACGATAGACAGACAGATGATGATTGATAGATGATAGATGATAGATAGACAGATAGAGATAGATGATAGATTAGATAGATGATAGATATATTATAGATAGATGATAGATAGAAGATAGACAGATAGATAGATAGATAGATAGATAGACAGATAGATAGATAGATGATAGATAATAGACAGACAGATGACAGATAAAAAATGAAGCATCTTAAAAGAATTGCTGATGGGGCTGGAGAAATGGCTCAGCGGTTAAGAACACTGGTTGTTCTTGCAGAAGACCCGGGTTCAAATCCCAGCACCTACATGGCATCTAACAACTGTCTGTAACTCCAGTCCCAGGGAATCCAACAGCCTCTTCTGACCTCTGTGGGCATTGCACAACACGGGTGCACTTCCCTACATGCAGCCAATACACACATACCCATACTTTTTTTTAAATTAAATTTTAAAAAAGTTTAAAAAGACCTGCCGATTGTAATTTTCATTCCACTCGGGATCGGTTTACAAAGCATGCACCAGCACCACCACTCAGGCCACAGGCCCTTTGCACACCGTTCTCCTGACCGTTACCTTTCTGTTCTTCTGTTCCTTCCGTACTTTTCCGCTTATAGCCCAAAACCAGCATGACGTTTTTAAGGCTTCCTTTAGCAAAACAAGAATATTGAAATTTTCTATTAAAATATTTTAATAAACTGGACTGGAGAAAGTACAGTTGTCCAGATATTAAGACACAAATGTATTCAATCTGAATTCACAATGTTATTAGGAAACACTCCAATTATATTGAAAAAAAACCTCTCTAAGGAGATCAGAATTTTCTTAAGGAAGAAAACCTGTGATACATAATTATATGAAATCTGAGAAAACTGTTTTAACATTTCTTATAAAATATTTACACTTTATTCCTCCCCCAAAGCTTTAACACTGAAGGAGAGAAAGTCCAGGAAAGTGTTTCAGTATTGTTAGGCACAAATACAAAGCATTTGGATGGTAGGTTGGGTGGTCAGACTGATGACCTTAACAGCATCACATTTCTTTCTTGAGTCATTCACTCATTTCTTTGACAATGTCCATCAGAGGTCTTGTACATACTGGGACTTTGGCTAAGTTCTAGGAATGAGGTAGGAACAAAAACACCCAGACCTGCGCAACTCACATGGAGTTCCTGCTCTGTTTTGTCAGGAGGTGAAAATCTTTAGCCAATGCAATCAATGCACATGAACCTTTCGAATTCCAGAGGGAGCCAAGAAGTAATCACTGTCCATGTCTCTGAGCTATCATTCCAAAATGCAAGAAGACAGAGCACGCACCCAAAGTCCTTCAGGCAGGACTGAGCAGTGTGAGAGACTGAATACTTCCTCAGCCAGAAAGAACTAGAAGAAACGTTCCAAATGACCAGGGACTAGAGGGGCAAGTGAAGACCATAGGCAGTGTAGGCTTCAACTTCTATGTTCACTTTACAGTCAGTCATAATCCACTGCAGTGACACTATGATTACAGTGACTACCAACCATTCAGATCCCATATGCATACATAACAAATTGAGGCCTTAGCACAGCTGGTAGAAAACAGCTGGGCAGATAGCCCACTGAGATTGTCCACTCTAGCTGTGGGACGCACGCCCAACAATTCCCAGTCATGAGAGGCATCTCACGTTCTGTGAAGCTCTGATAGCCATAGATGAAGTGCCAGTGAAGGGGGCAGGAGAAACTCTGGTCGTTCCTTAATTTTCTCCTTACCATGGCCAAACATTTTGCTTCTCATTTGCTAAAGTTACATAAACTCTATTTTCATAGACCTAAGCCCTACAATGTTACTTTGTGATACATTTTGTATAGATGATGTGATTCTTGTTTTCTAAATTGAATCATTAATCAAAGGAAGACATTGAAAAATTCTTTTGTGAAAAATATATTCCAAATGGCACTGTGATGTATTCAAATTTAAATAGAACAGGAAGCAAAATTTGGACAAAATTTATAATTATCCATATTTGTAGATTGTGGAGTTCAGTGTATACTGCTATAAATATATAAATTTATAGAATGAAAATAGGACTCTTTGACAAGAAAGAAGCTTAGATTAGAATCAAAATAAACATGTGCTTTGACTTATTGGATGAAAAGAGAAAAAAAAATATATATATATATATATTCCATTTTTGCATTAGATATAGAAGACAAAAGCTGAAGACCCAAATTAACTGCTCTGCTGAAGTGGCCTACATCTCTCATACTGAGAGCATCTGTTTCCTTCATTCTTAAATGACCCTATTCAGAGATCACCCCCACTACTACACTGCATAATATGAGTGTCTTATATACTCTAAATGACATTAGACCGTCTTATTAAAAGGGAATTTTTATTTTTAAACTGATATATTTTAAAATCTTGGCTATGGATAAACAGAAAGGAGAGACACTTGCCTAACTGTGCTGGGACCATGACTCTAACAGAATCACAGAAGTTGTTAATGATGCGTATGACGCGCCGAGTGGAAAGATCCAGGAGTAAGATGTGGCCTCCGCCAGTCCCTATCCAGAGAGCTGTGTTCTTCTGCAGGCAGAGTGCCTTCACCCTCCCGGAGTAAGACAGCTTGTGCTTTGATTCTCTGTTTGTTTTTACCATTACCTCCCTAGAACCATAGAGACAGTCAGCATTAACAGTTTCATCAGCACTTAAGAGATACAACAGATGAATACGGTATGTGGGGACAGGGTCCAGGACCCCCCACTTCAGTTAGCACAGTCGCAGGTATTCAGGCTCCTTCTACAAAACAACACAGCACGTGTATGGACCTTACACACAACCCTCCTGCATACTTTAAATTGTCTCTGAACAACTTATCAGACCTGATGTACTGCAAGAGCTGTGTAGACAGTTATGCCGTCATTTGGGGATTAATGACAGAGGAGTCTACACACCTTCATTTCACCCATATTCAAGCATCAGAGGCCTATTCTATTTGGGATGCAGAGCCTGAGAAAATGAAAGGCTGACTTCATGCTCTGCGTGTCACTAAAACTGCACAAAGCTAATTTAGTTAAACACAGGATGCCACAAAGCATGTCCCTTTACTTGAAACATAAATTCTCAAAGGCTCTTGTGATAACCTTTCAACTTTAAGGGATTCTCAAATGAGCAAGGTGGATATCAGCATACTGTTTTTATAAATATCTAATCCAGTAATGTTATAAGGAAGTTGCCCAGAAAAAGTAGTTAGCTTTGAAACTTTCTATGAAGTGTAAAGGAAAATAAAATTATTTACTCAAAACTATGATAGTCTAATAATTCATGAGAAAAATGAAGGATCCAGAAACAAGAGAACACTAATGATCCCAAAACTTCGGTAATTAAGGGGCCCTAACACACAGCACTGTCAGCCTTTCTGAACTTGTCTTCTCAAAAATCCAGATGCTAGGCAGATGAACTGGCGGTCTCAATTTATAGATTCAATGTGCCATCTTAGCACAGTCTACAGAGTACAGAAAGTTCATACAGTCAGGGCTGGAGAGATGGCTCGGTGGTTAAGAACATTGACTGCTCTAGCAGAAGATCCAGGTTTGAGTCCCAGCACCACATGGTGGCTAACAGTCATCTGTAACTCCAGTTCCAGGGGATCTGACACCTCTTCTGACCTCTACCATACCACACGATACAGATGGACTTACATACATGCTGGTATAAACTCATGTACATAAGATAAAGACAAAACAAAAAAGGATTCATACAAACAAAATAAAACAAAAATCATGAACTGGGAAATAGGTTTGGCAGCCACTTCCCGGCACTGGTCGTAAGCACAACCTGGCTCTCCATCTACAACCTGTTTCTCCCTCCTGAGTTAGAGCACTGACCAGTACAGGGAGGTTACCTGTATTTTTCTCTTATTTTATGACATCCCCCCCCTTTATAGTACAGAACTTGAATTCATAATTCAATTATAAGTAGAAATATATATTTGTTTTTTTTTTAAATTGTGTTTTTTTTTTTTACTTTATGTGTATGAGTGGATTGTCTGCATGTATGCAAGTGCACCTATGTCATGCAATGCTTGTGGAGGGCAGAAGAGGTCATTGGATCCCCTGGAACTGGAGTTACAGATGGTTGTTAGCAGTCATCCATATGCTGAGAACGGAAGCCCTGTCCTCTGCAAGAGCAGCCAGTGCTCTTAACTGCTGTGCCATCTTTCTAGTCCCAAGTAGTAAATTTTAATACTTTATCACAACAATATCTCTCTAATCAGCAGTGAGGTTATTTTGTTTTTAATGTGTGTTTTTCCTGCGTGTATGAAATTGTACCCATGTGTGCGATGCCTGTTGGAGGTCAGAAGAGGGCATCAGATCCCCTAGAACAGGAGTTCAAGTTGTTAGCAGCCATCTTGGTGCAAAATCCAACACCCCTC